CTGAAGTCCGAGGCTTAACCAACTGAGCCACCCAGGCGCCCCAAGATCCCGTTTTCTTTAGTGCAAAAAGACATTTGCAATATTTTATTGTACACCAAAACTCTTTTTCACACGTGAATGAAATTAAAATCACTATATCTTAACTATATTTTTACTGTAGCTTATTTTTTTTAAAGCAAACCTTTGGAACTGTTATTCTCTATTGTGCTTTCATTCCTTGCCCAGTACAACATTTATATATTTTATATAAATATATAATAAACATTTATACATATTAAATAACATATTTACATATATAATATATATATATATAGATGTATACATATATAAAACATGTAATCAATTCTTTAAATGTCAGTAAAAGCGAATTTATAAATGTCTGGATTTTGTACCTGACTTGGCAACCCCTCCCCTTCTAAACAACAATTCATTTGGTATGAATACATATAATCAAATGAATTCACTCAAAGTGCTTTTAATGATTGCCTTCACTCTCATTACATTCTCTAAGCCTGTCAGTGGATTTACAGTTAGCTAATGTACCATTTAAACCCTTGATAATTAGGATATGTTCCAATTCAGCCAGCTTGTATTCCACGATCCTGAGGTTTATCAATATTCGCTTCTGCATGGCTATCGTGTGTGGGGAATTAATTAAGATACCACGAGAGATGCTGTCGACTGAAAGATTCTTATCAGTATTGCTCTTAGTTGACCCAGTAGAAGAGGTTGCTCTTACTAGTGCAAGAGAGGTCGAATTGGATGACATTTCACCAACGCTGCTCTGTAAGGGAAGGACATTATACATATGTAGGTTATTGAGTCTAGCAATTTCCAAATACAGCTGATGTTTGAACACAGTAGGAGGTTAAAGACATTGATTCCCTGGGCAGTCAAAAACCTCCCCCCAAACTTAACTACTAATAGCCTATTGTTGACCAGAAGCCTTACAGACAGCATAGTCGATTAACACGTATTTTGTGTCTGTATTACATACTGTATTTTTACAATAAAGTAAGCTAGAGAAAAGAAAATGTTATTAAGAAATTGTAGGGGGGGGCGCCTGGGTGACTCAGTCAGTTAAGCATCTGCCTTCGGCTCAGGTCATGATCTCACGGTCCGTGAGTTGGAGCCCCACATCCGGCTCTCTGCTGTCGGGGCAGAGCCCCCATTGGATCCTGTGTCCCCCTCTCTTTCTGCCCCTCCTCTGCTTGCTCGCGTGCATCTGCTCTCTCAAAAATAAACAGAAAACTTTAAAAAAAATTAAAAAAAAAGAAAATAGTAAGGAAGGGGAAATACATTTATAGTAGTGTACTGTATCAAAAGAAAATCAGAGTATAAAGACCCACGAAGTTCAAACCTATGTTGTTCAAGGGTCAACTTGAACTATCAAATAAGATGCTTAGTCTTGGGTAGCAAAATGAACTGATTGTCCCCCCCTAAGTGATTGAAAATCCGTTGAACAACAACACTGATTTGGAAATACACCCTTCCCAAAGACTGAAAAAAAAATTTGTATAAAGTAGCCTCTTAATATCAAAATGTTGCATTTTGGGCTTACATTTCCTGGACAGTCCAGTAGGTTTATACTTGGACCCTGATCCTTATCTCAGAGGACCACTAAAGCCCTAAAGTCATTTGCAACTTTAAATATCACCAGGAAACCCACAGTTTGAACTGAATTGTTTGCGAATGCCCAAAAACCTGTCATAAAGATGGCTGAAACCAGGGGAGAAAGACGCAAACCAACCTAAGGGGTAGTAGAAGCTAGAGAAGGAATAGATTCTTTTTTTTTTTTTTTTAATTTTTTTTTTTCAACGTTTATTTATTTTTGGGACAGAGAGAGACAGAGCATGAATGGGGGAGGGGCAGAGAGAGAGGGAGACACAGAATCGGAAACAGGCTCCAGGCTCCGAGCCATCAGCCCAGAGCCCGACGCGGGGCTCGAACTCACGGACCGCGAGATCGTGACCTGGCTGAAGTCGGACGCTTAACCGACTGCGCCACCCAGGCGCCCCAGGAATAGATTCTTAAAACAGGAGGCGACGGCAGAGCGTGGGCCCTTTCAGCTCTACTTTTCAAGTGGATGAAACGCTGACCATGTTACTTAGTGACTTGGGGCTTTTTCCAACAGACCACGGCTGTCGAATGGTTGGTCAAGAAGAGGGAAGTGCGGGGGTAAACCTCCAGGGCTCTTCGAAGAGAAGAATGAGGCGACCTCCCCTTACTCTTAGTTTACTGTTTTAGTATCTTTCTATTCACAAACACCTCCCTCCCCCTCCACCGACCACCTGACTGCATCCAGTTCCAATTTCTCTTACACACTTTACCTGAAAGCGGCTCTTCCAGACGACAAGCAGTAAAGCGAACACGATAAAACTCAGTAGAAGCAACAGCAGGCTCATGTTTTCTCTTTGGCCTCTCCTCCCCTCTAGGCCACGGAGGCACAAGACTGGCAGCTGGGAAGCAGGGGACCCTAGTCGTCCCCCCGAGTATGGAAGCCACGGGCCACGATGCTAAGCGTCCCGCACCGCTCAGTGCAACTGGGAGTCGCCTCAGCCTTTGGCTTCACATAGTCTAACAGGCGCGTGCCGCCCTCACAATTGAGCGCTTCCGCGGGGGCGCTACGTCACAATCTGCTGACGTCAAACCCGGAAGCAGGCGGCACCTGCCACGGCCTACCTGGGTGCTGCGTCAGGTTGTTGGCGAGGGCCGCGAGAGGCAACGGGGGCGTGTGGGATTTCCGGGCAGCTGAAACATGGTAGAAACACAGACGCCAAACGGACTGATGAAAGACGAGCTTTAAACAGTGCTCGTCCCTCCTTTTCTTTCTCGCTTAAGACAGGTTTGTCTTTGCTGCAAGCCACTCCGTTCATTTCAAAAGCAAGCCCAGAAAGGTTTGGAGGTACTGTGAGAAGCAGTTACCCACAAACTGCGTAAGTCTTTGCCAGAAACCTCCTCCACACTCCCATTGCTATTTTAGGAGTCGTTCCAACCCTAGCCGCGTTGGGCTAATTACGTGCCCTTGTGTTACTGTACCGTCTAAAAAGTAATTCCAGGGACATCTTCCCACGTAATTCTTACAATAACTTCGTGCTATAGGAATTTTTTCAGACTGTGCCCACTTCAGAAGTGCAGAGGCAGGTTCAGGCATGAAGTAAACTCATTGGGAACCAGGAGCGAAAGCAGGACTTGAATCCATAGAGGTGAGTCCTGAGATAGCCACCCCCATTCGCTTGCCCTCATCCGGATCCTCAGGACCTCTGCCCGTACTTGCTGACTTGTGAGCATCAAGTATTTCATATTTCCCACTCAAGGAATTGAACAGTGTATTCCGATTGATATTAGTGCGAGCCGATAGGGAGAGAAATCACTGTACCTGACAGGAAATGCACAAGAAATTCGGGTAGATGTACAAGATGACAACGAACGAAACACTCAGAGCTAAAGGCAATAGCCAGGGTCGTCTCAAGATGAGTGTCACCCTCCAACCCCTAGCTGCTTGGGGAATAACTCACATCTTCATATCGATAGGAAGGAGAGGAACTATACACTTTTCACCTTCAACGTATTTCCCAGTTATGGTTTCAAAGCTTTACTTCTTCAACGCCCATGTCAAGGGTGGGCACCGTGATGTATTCTGGGGAAACGAATATGAGCAAAAATAAGGTCTCTGTTCACCTTCGTTTCATCAAATGAAATGGAGTGTAGCCCAGTAACATTGTCTCTGACCAAAGCATTTTGAATTTTGATCCTACTGGAATCCAAGGGAACGCTTCGAAGCACTTACAAAATATTCTCTTAAAGCACATTACAGTCCTGTTGCTAATCATTGATTTTTTTTTTCATTTATTTTGTATTGCGGTAAAATATACAAAACAGAGAATTTCACGTTTTAACGAACTTTTTTAATTCTTTATTTTTTAAATGTTTACTTATTCTTGAGAGACAGAAAGACAAGAGCATGAGCAGGGGAGGAGCAGAGAGAGACAGGGAGACACAGAATCCGAAGCAGGCTCCAGACTCCGAGCCGTCAGCACAGAGCCCGACGTGGGACTCGAACCCATGAACCGTGAGATCATGGTCCGAGCCGAAGTCAGACGCTCAACCGACTGAGCCACCCACGTGCCCCACATTTTAAACAATTTTCAGCGTGCACTTCTGTGGCTGTAAGTACACTCGATCCCCACCATCTCTCTTTCATCTTCCCCAACTGAAAATCTATACTCATTAAACACTAATTGCCTATTGTCCCCTCCATCCAGCCCCTCGAAATCACCATTTTACCTTCTGTCCCTCCAAATTTAGGTAGCATAGCTACCACACGGGAGTAGATGTCATGTTGTGCCTGGCTTATTTCACTTAACATAATGTCCTCAAGTTCCATCCATGTTGGGCCATGTGTCAGAATTTCTTTCCACTTAAGGCTGGCGAATGTTTCACAGTTTGTTTACCCATTTATCCACTGATGGACACCATGTCGCCTCCACCTTTTGGTCCTTGTAAATAATGCTGCTATTAACATGGGTTATTTGTATGTTTTAGATAACAGCCCTTCATCAGATACGGCTTTTGCAAATATCCGCCTCCGGTCAAATGGCTTGTATTTTCCCTTTTTTTTGACAAGGTCTTTCACAGAACAGAAATGTTTAGTATTAAGAAAATCCAGCTTATCAATTCTTTCTTTCATGAGTAGGGCCTTTGGGGTTAAATCTAAAAAGTCATCACCGAATCCAGGGTCATCTAGATCTCTTCAAATCCACAATCCTTGGTTTAGGTTTTTCCCCCCTATTATTTTCATCTTTCTGCCAACATTGAATTTAGTCTGTTCTTTTTCTCGCTCTGTTACTGTTCCTAAGAATAGGTGACGCCATGTTTCTCTCAAGTTCACGTGAAACATTCTTCGGATAGGCCATATATGTCAGGTCACAAAACCTGTCTTAATAAATGTAAAAACACCGAATCATACAAAGTATCTTTTCTAACCACAGTGGGTGAAACCGGAAATTAACAGCAGAAGGAAAACCGGCAAATTCACAAACACGTGGCAATTAAACAACAGGCTGTTAAACAACCAATGGCTCAAAGAAGAAATTAGAAAGGAAATTAGGAAATATCTTGGTGCAAATGCACATGAAAATACAGTATACCAAAGTTTGCGAGATGCAGCGAAATCAGTGCTGAGCAGGAAATTTATGGGCTTTAGTGCTTCCTTTTTAAAAAAGGACTTAGGGGGCGCCTGGGTGGCGCAGTCGGTTAAGCGTTCGACTTCAGCCAGGTCACGATCTCGCGGTCCGGGAGTTCGAGCCCCGCGTCGGGCTCTGGGCTGATGGCTCAGAGCCTGGAGCCTGTTTCCGATTCTGATTCTGTGTCTCCCTCTCTCTCTGCCCCTCCCCCGTTCATGCTCTGTCTCTCTCTGTCCCAAAAATAAAAATAAACGTTGGAAAAAAAAAAAAATAAAAAAGGACTTAGGGGCACCTGGGTGGCTCAGTTCACGATCTTGTGGCTCGTGAATGCGAACCCCGCCTCGGGCTCGCTGCGGTCTGCCTGTCGTTGCAGAGCCCACTCCAGATCCTCTGTTCCCTTCTCTCTGCCCCTTCCCCACTTGCTCTCTCCCCAAAATAAATAAATATTAGAAAAACAGATTTCAAATACATTTTAAAAAGACTTAAATCAACAACTTAACTTTACACTCCCTTTTGATTACTAGCTGCATGAAATACCTTTTTCCATCTTTTTACTGTCAATCTCTGCATGTGCTTATATCTTAAAATTCCTCCCTTTGGGGCGCCTGGGTGGTTCCGTCGGTCGAGCTTCCGACTTCGGCTCAGGTCGTGATCTCGCGGTCTGTGAGTTCGAGCCCCCCGTCGGGCTCTGCGCTGACAGCTCGGAGCCTGGAGCCTGCTTCGGATTCTGTCTCCCTCTCTCTCTGCCCCAACTCACTCGCATTCTGTCGCTGTCTCTCTCAAAAATAAACATCTAAGCAAATTAAAAAATATAAAACCGCTCCCTTTTAGGCAACATATACTTGGATTCTGTTTTTAATCCTTTCTGCCAATATATAGCTTTTGATTGGGGTGTGTATTTACATTTGAAGTAATTGCTGGTGTGAGCATTTACTTCTAGCACTTTATTTTTTTTTGTTTTCTGTACCTCTTAAAGCTTTTTTTGCCCCTCCTTTTCTCCATTATTGCCGACTTATCTTCAGTTCATTTTTTTGTAGCGACACATTTTGATTGTTTTCTTATTTCCTTTTGTAGATATTTAATAGGTATTTTATTGTGGTTATATATAACCACATAGAACATCCTAAAGTTATGATCACCTGTCTTAAATTGATACCAAAATTAATTTCAATTGCATACATAAGCTTCCCTCTTTTATAACTCTGCTTCCTGCTTCCGCTTTATGTTATTGACGTCACAAATTACATCTTTAGATGTTGGATACCCACTTACATAGGTTTATAATTACTTTTCACGATTGTGCCTGTGTAAATCCTGTAGAAAATAGCAAAGTGGAATTACAAACCAAAATTGCTATAATACTGTTTTGTTGTGTGTGTGTGTGTGTGTGTGTGTGTGTGTGTGTGTGTTTACATTTGCCCATGCATCTGCTTTTACCAGAAATCTTTATATTTTCACGTGGCTTTGAGTTACCATCTAGTGTCCTTTTATTTCAACTTAAGGATTCCTTTTAGTATTTCTTTTTAACGTTACTATTGGTGATGAACTCTTTCGGATTTTGTTTGGATATGTTTTCATTTCTCCCTTATTCTTTGTTTAAAAAAAAAAACTCGTTTATTTTGTTTTTTGAGGGAGATAGAGCATGGCCGGGGGAGGGGCAGAGAGACGAGGAGCACAGAATCTGAAGTGGGCTCTGTGCTAAAAGCAGAAAGCCTGATGTCGGGGCTCAAACTCACGAACCGTGAGATCAGGACCTGAGCCAAAGTTGGATGCTTAACCGACTGAGCCACCCAGGTGCCCCGTTTTTTTGTTTTTTGTTTTTGTTTGTTTGTTTGTTTGTTTGTCCCTTTGTTTTGCCCATCTTTGCTGGATGTGGAATTCTCAGTGGACAGTTCATTTCTTTCAGAAAATATAAAGATTTCTTTCAGAAAAGATAGAGTCTTTTTTTGAACCCCCCCCCAGTAAGTGTTTCAATTCAGTTATTGTCTTTAAAGTCTCAGAACCTGATAGTTTATTATTTCTATCTTTGTTGATATTCTCATTTTGTTTATATCTTTTCCCCGCATTCCTGTAGTTTTTGTCCATGTTTCTCTTTAGCTCTTTGAACATAGTTAAGATAGTTTTTTAAAAGTCTTTGTGTAGATGCTTCTTCAGGAATGATTACTGTGGATTTACTTTGTTTCTGTGAATTGGCCATGTTTTCTTGTTTCTTTGTATGC